GCAGATGCATTATTAAGATCATTTACTGATAAAGGATCTGATTTCTTTGAAGGAGAAATAGAAGCTCATGTTGGATTAGTTGTAGAATGTATACCAATGTCTAATGGTAAAATGGAAGTTTTTCAACTGGAAACAGAAAAAGATGAAGAACTACAAGTTTTAAGAAAATTAATTAAAACTGGATGACCAGATGAAAAATGTATGGTTCCAGAACTGGCAAAACCATATTTTAACTTCAGAGAAGAACTATCAGAAGCAAATGGATTAATATTTAAAAATTCCTGTGTTGTTGTACCAAGAAGTTTACGAAAAGATATGTTAAGCAGAATTCATTATGGTCATTTAGGAGTAGTAAAATGCAAGATCAAAGCAAGAGAAATATTATATTGGCCAGGAATGTCCAAAGAAATTGAAGATTTGGTACTGAATTGTCAAACATGTTTAAGTTTACAAAAAGCTAATACTAAAGAACCGACGATATCTAACGAAATACCTAATGGTCCATGGGAAGTATTGAAAACAGATCTCTTTTACTTTCAAGGGATTATCTAATAGTAATCAATTATTTTAGCAAATATGTTGAAAATGACATTTGGAAGATTTGTCAAGTGTAGCAGTGATAAAGCAATTGAAATCAATTTTTGCAAGACATGGTATTCCGAAAATAGTATATTCGGATAATGGTCCACAATATAATTGCAGGAAATATAAAGATTTTACAAGAAGATGGAATTTTGAAACCAGAACTTCAAGTCCAAAATACCCACAGTCTAATGGAATGGTTGAAAGACATATTCAAACTGTCAAGCGAATGTTAGAAAAAGCTGTAGTTGACAACAAGGATCCATATTTAGTTTTTTACTGGAATATCGTAAACTCTCCTATTTCAGATGAAATTAAGTCACCTTCTGAATTGATGTTTGGACGAAAAGTAAATGGATTGATGCCTATAAAAGAGAATTTCATCCAAGCTAAACGATATGAAGACCATAAACAACACTTACTGAAGAGACAAACCTTACAAAAAAGTTATTATGATAGGAATGCAAGACCATTAAAACCACTGAAAACAGGAGATCATGTTTACATAAAAGAAAGAGGGAAAAAACTAAATGAAAGAGGGAAAATTATAGAAGAAGCAGAAAGACCACGTTCATATAGAATTGTAGAAAGGAACAGAAGAGACCTTCTTAAAGGAACTAATCAGGAAGAGTTTGCAATACAAAACAACTATGAGAATGAAGTTATAGATGAACCCTAGGTACATGAAAATAGTAGGAACACTACAAATTTAGATGTGCCTGTAAGTCCTTCAAAATCTAACAGAAGTGTTGTGTCACCAAATAGTGAAAGAGGTATAGTATCATCAAATTTTTCAAATGGACATAACTACGTCACTCGATCTGGTAGGACTGTTAAGAAACCTTATTATTTAAAAGAATATGTTTAATTTTACTACTATTATTATTTTTTATAAAAAAGGGAGATGTTATATATGTAACTGTAACTGTATCTATTATTATCTTTAATCATAACTCTAATATAGAATAGTAGATGAGTAATGTAGAATAAACGATGTTTGTGTACATCTTGTAATCATCACTGAGCACGTACCCAACACATATAAAATACAACACAATCGGTTACTGCAACTATGTTATTACAAACATTCATACATATGCTCATAATATAAGCATAACGGGCTGATCTTTACATTATGGTAACTTGGCGATTTTTTGGCGAAAATTTGGCGACCAACTCTCCTACAGCAACCCTCTATTTTTTTTTTCCCGCCGCCATTTTGTCTTCATGAAGTAAAGACATGTTTCTTTTCTTTTTATCTACTGAACACTTCTTCCAACAATCTACTAGCCGAATTACACTTATGCTAGAAATTTTATCTAACAAAACTGCTTAATCATGACAAATATTCACTGCAAAATTGGGAAAAAGTGCACAATACCATACTCCTACGCGTTTTTCAAAATAACACGTACACATAAACCATGTACACGCCGACTTTTTTTTTACTTAAAAAAAAACATCCCAGAATTGCACAAAAATGGCATTGCGCACACTCTTCACTATATCCATGTACACTGCTTTTTTCTCATAAATTAGAAAAATTTCACGAAAATACATGACAATTTTCTCAATCTTTAAACCCGGTAAAAAGAACATATATGAAATTACCTGATCGCGAAAAAAGTATTTACCCTTTACAAATATGAACATTTCCACATATAAAATAAATAAATATCCAAAAACTTTTACCTCTAAATCTATTATATTATAAACGTCACCAATGAATTCATACCGTAACCATTACAAATACTTAGTGTCAGATATTTAAATTATTTCCATGCACGTTTACTTCAACTAAAACGTATACCAAATTCCTACAAACATAAAATTCACAAAATAACTATCATTTAATTAAAATATAATTAAATTCAAAAACACTACTTAAAATATAAATGAGCACATACATTAAATTAATAAAAATTACCTTACAATCCTAATTACTTTAAACTAAATCATTGTTAATAACAATTTTCCCAATAATACCAAATTCCTTTACTTCCACCTTACATTTAGAACAAATGCATAAAATAATATCCTCAAATAATTAAAAATACTAACTTACCTAATCTTCTTCAGAATCTTGATTACGTGTCCGATAAACTTTTCTTCTTTCTGTTTCAGGATCTTTAAAATCATACTTATATTTCACAGCAAGGGTACCAGGTAAATAAATAACTTAATAAAACATCTTTATTTCTATCTCACACAACCTTAAAGAAACATTATTACTACCCTTTTCAATACCACTAATACCCATTTCAAATTCACTTTAGTTACGGCCATGGGATCCAAAAATTCACGAACACTGTTTCACACAACACAGAATAAAGCCAAATACAAAATTTCCAGATTTTTTCCCTTTTCCGATTAAAGAACCGTAATTCGTCCATTAATATCACATGACATATCCCATGATCTCTCATTTCCCTCACACAAAATAATGCGTAATCGGAACTGAGTACTGCTCACATTATTACCAAAGTCCCAGGTAAGTAACCTTTATCGCCTCCAAAATGTCGCCAAACTACCACTTACCATGTTGTAAAGATCAACCGCATAATGATCATAATAAACATGAATATGAACTGACCAAGCGGAATGAGAATGCAAGTTATTAAGATCTTAATAGAAATTCAAACGTGTGTAGCATTTGGGTGGGAGGAAAAGAATGCCGAATGTACCGGAATTTTCTAATGCTTTCGCAATTCTTTGACCAATAGAACGACGGGCACCTGTCTGTACTCTCCGCCACAATAAAGGTTATGTTAATGCAGAGAAAGACGGAAAAGCTACCGGCAGTATGATTCACCATTTGACATTCCATATTAGGAAGAAAAGTTGTTTATTTAGTTTCGGCTTTATAACGAGGAAAAATTGGGTGTTCATTTAAAAAAAAAAGCACTAAAAGCAAAAAATAAACACTAAAAAAAAAAAGGGGGGGCTTTAAAGAAAACATAAGCACCTATAAGGGCCTTTATATTTTATTTTCAAATATAAGGACTTATAAGCAATTATAAGGACCACTATGAACCCTGTAATTGCATAAACTCAGAAACCATATACATATCAATCTATTTTCGCTTAAAAAAACATCAGAGAATTGCACAAACTAGGCATTGTTGTCTTTGTACACATCAATCTTTTTTCACTTTAAAAAAAAAAAAAAAAAAAAAATCAGGAGGCTGAAACCAAGTTAAAACTATCAATGGTAACCAGAAATGGGGTTTCATTGCCTAAATTGAAAAACATTTGGTGTCAATCGAAGGGGCACCCAATTCAAAAGTACACCCGTGTGATGCCACAATATGCAAACTTATGAACAGCAATGAAATGAGCCAAAAGAGGGATGGTTGCTACCTCTGAAATGTGAATCTATTGCATTACTGAGTTTTAACTATTGTTGCCATTCTTTACATTAACCGAGTTCTCTGTGGAAGTACTTCCCCCGTTATTTTCATATTAACACTGGCAATAATTTATTAGTAATTTCTGTTTTCTGTCAACACATATTAACTTAATAAACTGTACAACAGTCACTAAGGTCAATAATTATTTACTTCCTTCAAAAATATTTCCTTCTGAAAGATTTTATGGCATTATATCTAATAAGGGTAAAAGTTTACAATTGGGTGTCCCCTTTTTTTTTTTGGCGATTCTTTTTTGATGCCAAGATCGGCACCAGGAAGGCACAATTTCAAGATGGCTGCTACACAAAACCAAAATAAGAAGTCAAAGAATTGCACAAACTTTGTGTCCATGTACACATCAATCTGTTTTCACTTAAAAAAACATCATGGAAGTGCACAAACTAAGCATTGCGCACTGCCTTAAATTTGTCCATGTACACATCAAACTATTTTCATTTAAATAAAATAAGGAAGCTAAAACAATGTTAAAACTATCATGGTAACCAGAAGTGAGCTTTCATTGCAAAAATTTAAAAAAAAAAAAAAAATTGTCGATAATCGAAGGTGCACCCAATTCGGGGAAAGTGCAGAATCGCCCACTGCTTGGCGCGTTTGCAAATACTCGGTATCCATGTACACATCGACCTATTTTCACTTACAAAAACATCCCAGAATTGCACAAAAATGACATTGCGCACTCCCTTGACTTTATCCATGTACACATGGACCTATTTTCACTTAAAAAGGTCAAAGAAAATTGACAAAAATCCAATTCTTACTCTTGTAAAAAGCGCCAAACAAACGCCAATCAAATAAGTGGGCACTTTAGCCCCCAGTTCTACACTAGAGCCCTAATAAGATTAAATGCACAATTACAGATGATTACAACAGCTATTCAGATGATTATTAGGAAGTTATTGCCAACAGAAGCAGGTGAGCATTATTAATATCAAGTTATTGCCTACGGAAATCCACGTGTCAGTTAACTTAAGTACAGAAACTGCTTACCTTTTTCAATGTTTTTTATTAGATTAACAGTTTCCTCCTTTTCTCGTAAGATATAATCTTCCGTCTGAGAAAGACTGATCTTGATAATCTCTTCTGTTTTGAAACAGTTAACATTATCAAAATTTAAACCTATAAAATAAAATATTTTTTAACGTGCTAAATTTCAACAATTAAAATGAACATGAAAAACCATTAACAGAATCTATCAAAAAAAAAAAAAAGTAAACCAACTTTCTAATTGAAAACCAGCTTTTCCCACTTTCACCATGATCAAGTTTAACTGGATAAGATAGTCTCAAAAAATACTGTAATAATACACGCACTATTTATAATTAAATGTTGAATTCTCGCGCGTTTTACAAATTACGGATTTTTAAAGTAGTGTCAAGACTGATCTTCTTCTTTAGCAAAACTACAAAAAAAATTCTTACATATATCCCACGGAAGTACTTTCTTAAACTTTATCAAAACTGACGTATACAGCATTATTATATTTGTATTTTAAGTATAAATATTTTATAAAAAAAAAATTACATTTTTGAGCATGGGAAGCAAATTCAGGGAATCCTAAAAATTTAACATTAATTCGTTTGCAGAATACCGAAAAGCTTCTCTGTTGAATTGAAGAGAAGAAGAGAATAATTTATATTTGCATTTTGTAAATCACCTTTTTTTTTTTTTGAAAGAAAATTTTTTACTCCGTGACCGTTTGAGTTGAACCTTCCCTCCTTCTAGGGGGCAGTCTGCGATCACCGAGGCAAGCGGCAGCACGATCGCTGCGCTCCGTAAAAAAGTGAAAATATTTCCTTTCCTCTTGGTGATTATCAATTAAATTTCTTTGAAAAATGTTTTTTTTCCCTACAACACCTATATCATTCCAATGAATTTCGGCTCCGATGTTGACGAGAATAAAACAGCGGACAATGTAAGGATATACTCCAAAAGCCTGGAATTTTAAGATAAGTACTTTTCTTTCATCTAAACTAAATCAAATTTCTTTAAATAAGTGCATTTAAATCAATAAATCTTAATTTTTCATCAGTTTAAAGCATTAAAAAATACTTGAAATTGCCATTCCTTGTGGCTTCCTTTGTGTATCAACTCCAAACAGACGACTCAGGCGAACGCAGTTCGCAATAAACGGGCCCCCGCGCGGTTGCGCTATCCCTGAATAACTTGTGATGGCGATTTTCGAGCTTTCTATTACCATAGCATAGGTAGTTCCTGACGAAAAGAGAACAGTGTATGACAATAGAGACAAGAGTAGCATGGGTAGGGGCAGATAACATGCCCAAACGAATGAATGCAAAGCTGAAGTTGTCTTCTGGAATAAGTCGCGGAGGAAAAAGTTATCCGCCAACCAGTAGCCGTGATCCGGAAAGGACGAATAGAGAGCGAGGAGGGCGGAGCACGGGAGAGTTCTCAGGTGGTCACCCACCCAAGTCCTGTCCCTGCTACCTGCTGCTTAACTTTACGGCGCCAACGCCGCAGTAAGGCCTCATGATCCTGGAGAAAAAAGGAGTTGTACGGTGAAAAATTAGTCGCTTGCAAGTTGAAAGATGTTCATCAGAATAAGCAGCTTTTCGGGGTTGCTAGGGGCTGCTTGGAGATGCTGGCGGTTATCTTTGAAAGCTGCAACAAACTTTCTAATGCAGTCATCACTGAAAATTTCATGGATCTGTTTGAAAATGTTCATAAGTTCCAATATAGATTTAAAATCACTCTCTTTCGCAGAGTAACCGATGTCTTGAGTCTGTTGAGGCTGGGTATCATCAGTTTCTTTGGGAGTAAGAGGCACAGGGGGGTTTTGTGATTTAGCCGCGTCAGCATAGCTCACATCTGGTCTTGTCTGTGAAGGATGGGGTTTTTTCGTAAATTTCCGAAAATACTCGCAACCACGGTAGGAACTAACGTGATTTTTTGAGCAGTTGCTGCAGGTAGGTCATCAGTCTTTTTCCGATCACACTCCGCAGAGATGTGGTTTTTAGCACATTTCACACACTTGGGGGCGGAGTTTGCAGGTATCAGAAGAATGTCCAATTTTTTGGCAGTTGTAGCATTGGTATACAGTGAATCTTGGCTTGTACTTCTCAATCTTTACGGCAAATCGAAGGAGATGCTGGATATCATAGACTTCATCAATATTCAGAGTATGGCGCAGTTGAACTTGGAAAATAGGCAGGGGGGCTTTCGTACGAAAATTTCTGAGGCGTGCAACTTTACACACTTGAAAGTTCAAATCCATCAGAGCTTGCTTGATTTTATCAGCATCGGTATTAATAGGCAGTCCTTTTATCACGATTTTTCTGGGTCTGTCATTTTTGTGCTTCACCAGGAAAAATCCAAGAGAACGATGACTTAAAAATTTTGCAATATGGATGTAGTCTTCCAAAGTTTCCGGAATAACACGGAGACAGTCATGATGAAATTTGCCTATGAATTTGGCTTCGGTATTTTCACTGATGTCTGTGAGAATTTGGTGGTGCTCCTCCGTAGTATTTATCATAACGTGAGGGACGTTGCTCAGGCTATTATTGGTAATAGGATTTTCACTGTTACTAGCAGCGTTCGTATCCATGTGTTCTTCACTCGCTAAGGCGTTAAATTGGTTACTTAACTCCGGCAGCGGGACCGGTTCAGGGCTCTTGAGACGTGCGAACTTCTTCGGAGTAGTGAACTTGGTTTCCTCGGCAGCGTCCGTAGGCTCGCAGGGTTCTTGAATGTTGGGGAGGGTGAGAACAGGAAACGGCGTTTTACGTTTTCTGAAAAGACACGCTTCAGGGTGGTCAATACTTGAAAGAAAGGTTTCACATTTTCCCTGGATTGAGTTAATATCGTTCTTGAATTTGTTGCGAATATTAATAGTCTCCGCAAGGCCGGATTCCACGAGTTTCAGGTGGCTTGGATTGAGTAACTTGATCAGAGGAATCGCAGCATTCAGATGGTCACGCGCTTCTTCAATAAGCGGAATAGCTTGGATGGCGGCTTCGTAGTCCTTTGTATCCCGGATCTGGAACGTACGACAGAGTGGGAGCAATAGCTCGCTTCCATATGGAATACCATTTGAGAGTGTAAGCTTGGGAAGGAAAGTAATTATTCGATTTTCCGAAATTTGCAGTCTGGATTCCGGTCGTTTCACCTCTTCTAAGAAGAAGCGAATAACTTGCTTCATCGCATGAGTGCTTTGTGGGTCAGTTGTCAGTTTGAAGATGAGTTCTGAAAGTTCGGCTTGTATCCATGCTGCTTTAACTGCCTCGGTAGTTTCTTGATACTTTTGCCGTAGTGGAGTAAGAGTTTCGTCAGAAGTTCCGTTGGCATCAGCAGTTTGGATGGCGTACTTAAGCTCATCCAGTTGACATCTACGGGTATTGTAGATAGTGCGAAAAAACGGGACATCACACTTTCTCATAAAGAGGAGATTGTAAGGATTCTCCCGCACAGGAGGTAAAGTTTCTTCCGACATCTTTCTCAACGTCAGCGTTATCAGTTCCAAACAGCCAGCGTTATCAGTTCACGTCTGTCAACACTTACAAAGCCCTTAAGGAATCTCGAGAAAGGGAAAATTTGGGGATGAGAGGGATAATTTGGGCATCGCGCTATTTCCCTCTCGGATCTTCTGGATTCTCATTTCTTTCTAGATCGCTTAGAATATATTTTCGCCTTTAAATAATATTATACCTCACCGATTTTTTCTCATACTGTTCTTTGCTAACTGTTAAATGTCCATGTGTAAGGAATTATTCTTCATTTGGTTTATTCTTCACCGCCTTAAATGAATTCTTAGAACTATGAGCTTATATAAATAACAGTGTGCCTCATTGTGTTATACTAACATTATTTAACTAGTAATAAATTATGATAGTAAAAAATAATTAATCTTGTAATAAATTATGATAGTTAAATTAATAAATACTGTTTAATTTGTGTTTTTAATACATATACTCAGTAATTTACACCCACACACACACACACACACACATATATATATATATATATATATTTTGGTGTGTGCGGTTGTGGTCTTGTATTGTACAGTCGGCCACAAAAGTATTCGAACACCGGTACCCATTCAGAAAATTTACTTTTCCGTTGAGAAACAAAAGGTTAAAATCCTGGTTCGATGGAAAAAAACAAAAGGTCTCCACTTGGAGGTGTCGAAAAAAATCATGACACTTTTCTTGAGAAACAAAAGGGACTTCAGAGTCGATAGACAAAAAAAAACAAAAGGATGGCTCATGTCCAAAATTGGCTAGGTGCATGAAACAAAATACAACATGACCTATCTGGGTGAGATGGGAAACAAAATGGCTGCTCACGTGATCCATTATTGCGCTCAGAGAAAACGCAAAGTGTGGCTGCGGCTCATCTCGGTTCGCGAAGAGTGAAAACCCAAAACGGTCTGTAGTGTCTATCTTTGTTGGATGAGAAAACAAAAGGATGGCTCATGTCCAATTTATTTAGGTGTGGGAAAAAATATAACGTGACCTATCTGGATGAGATGTCTCCAGCGATCCAGTATAGACTTTTTCCCCATCTGCAATAGGTGACATCTATAAACAATTTCATTGAAATCTCCTCGAAATATAAGAAACAGCTAGCTCGTGAAAAGGTATTCCCAAAATTCCATCTTGAGAAGGCCTTTTTAGGAGGTAAAAAAAAAGTCAAAAAAAAAAAAAAAAAAAAAAAAAAAAAAAAAAAAAAAAAAAAAAAAAAAAACTTTTGTTAATTTTTATCATGTCTTAGGATGGAAAATCCATCAGGAAACACAAATTAATAGAAAAAAAAGGAAGTTTTTTTTTTTAGCTCTGGAAATATTTTTCCATTCAACAGCCAAGAAATATTTCCAGCCAATACAATTTCATTTTTACTTTCACTTTCAATTCATTTCTTATATCTATAAGAACATTTCATTTTTCTGTTCAGATCAGTGTGGATTGTTCAAGATGCAGCAACTCTACTCCATCCCACAACCAGGAAAAAAAGATGTTCTTTCATGAGATGTTCTTTTGGCTTTCGAAAACAATGATGACATGATGATTGTAATACATTTCTGTTCTCATGTCCCATACTTGAACTCAGAATTATTTCCAGAACTCTGAGAATTTTTCCTAGTCACCTCGATGACCCAACTTTCGTATATTTATTTTTTAAGCCACTCGAGTTTCGACTTCCCATCCGTGTGTGCTGTGCATTCAACCTAGACACACATTCCCTGAGCTCTAAGAAAATGTTTCCCAGCAGACTCAATCGCTGAAATGGATTAAAAATAAATTCTTTCATACATTTTTAAAGCTCAAGCGTGTTAGGTGTCATGGAAAGAGCCTTTTTTTCCCTGAGCTCTAAGAAAATGTTTCCCAGCAGACTCAATCGCTGAAATGGATTAAAAATAA